CCTCAGACAGCTACTGCAAGCCGTTCTGGTGACTATTACAATGGCAATGTTATGGCCCATTTTAGGAAAGTCTTAAAGGAACGGGAGGTACAGGCCTCTATGGACAGATATGTTGTGCAACAGAAGTCCAGTGACTCTTAAGCTGGTCCTAGTGGCATTAAAAGAAGAAGGGAAGTAACCCTGGAAAAGGACTTGATACCTCAAGTCCTAATGGAAGGAGATTCCCCTTCTAAACAATAACAACTTCCACACTCCCCTCCTCCCATCCCATCAATCATCACCAGATCTTCAATAAAGGTAAGTGTCATGTATTGTATTCTTAGTGAGTGTCTTCTTAAGTTTGTGTGTATTAAAATTAATATTTCATGTGGTAATTTTTGTTTTTTTTCATAGTTTGTGGTGTCTTGCACGGATTAATTTGATTTCCATTATTTCTTATGGGGAAAATTAATTCGCCATACGATAATTTCGTCTTACGATGAGTTCTCATGAACGGATTAATATCATAAGGCGGTGGTCCACTGTATTTTTGTTTTCAACAAGTCGGCCATCTCCCACCAAGGCAGGGTGACCCAAAAAGAAAGATAATCCCCCCCAAAAAATACTTTCATCATTCAAGACTTTCAGCTCACTCTTACGTAATCACTGAATTTGCAGAGGTGCTCAGATACGACAGTTTAGAAGTCCCTTCAAACTGTCGATATCCCAAACCCTCCTTTAAAATGCAGGCATTGTACTTCCCATTTTCAGGACTCTGTCCGGCTAACCGGTTTCCTTAAATCCCTTCACTAAATATTACCCTGCTCACACTCCAACAGCTCGTCAGGTTCCAAAAACCATTCGTCTCTATTCGCTCCTATCTAACACGCTCACACACTCCTGCTGGAAGTCCAAGCCCCTCGCCCACGAAACCTCCTTTACCCCCCCCCTCCGACCTTTTTGAGGATGATCCCCTACCCCTTCTTCCTTCCCCTACAGATTTATACGCTCTCCAAGTTATTCTACCTTGATCCAATCTCTCTAAATGAGCAAACCATCTCAGCAACCCCTCTTCAGCCCTCTGACTAATACTTTTAGTAACTCCACACCTCCTCCTAATTTCCACACTACGAATTCTCTGCATAATATTTACACCACACATTGCCCTTAGACAGGACATCTCTACTGCCTCCAGCCACCTCCTTGCTGCAGCATTTACAACCCAAGCTTCACACCCATATAAGAGTGTTGGCACCATTATACTTTCATACATTTCCTTCTTTGCCTTCATAGATAACGTTTTTTGTCTCCACAGATACCTCAACACACTGCTCACCTTTTTTCCTTCATCAGTTCTGTGGTTAACCTCATCCTTCATAAACCCATCCGCTCACAAGTCAACTTCCAAATATCTGAAAACATTCACTTCTTCCATACTCCCTCTCTCCAATGTGATATCCAATTTTTCTTTTTTCTAAATCGTTTGATACCCTCATCACCTTACTCTTATCTATGTTCACTTTCAACTTTCTACCTTTACACACCCAAACTCGTCCACTAACCTTTGCAACTTTTCTTTAGAATCTCCCATAAGCACAGTATTATCAGCAAAAAGTAACTGTGTCAACTTTCACTTTGTACTCGATACCCATAATTTAATCACACCCCTCTCCCCAACACCCTAGCCTTTACTTCTCTTACACCTACATACCCTAACCTGAGCCTCACCTATTCCATATACTTGCAACATCTGCCACATTGCTCCCCTATCCACTCTATCATATGCTTTTTTAAATCCATAAATGCAATAAAAACTTCCCTACCTTTATCTAAATACTGTTCACATATATGCTTCAATGTAAACACTTGATCTACACATCCCTACCCACTCTAAAACCTCCTTGCTCATCTGCAGTCCTACTCTCTGTCTTACTTTTAATCCTTTCAATAATAATCCTACTGTACTCTTTACCTGGTATACTCAGTAAACTTATTTCCCTGTAATATTTACAATCTCTTTTGTCCCCCTTCCCTTTATATAAAGGAACAATACATGCTCTCTGCCAGTCCCTAGGTACCTTCCTGTCTTTCATACATTTATTAAACAAAAATACCAACCACTCCAACACAATATCCCCCCCTGCTTTCAACATTTCTGTCATGATCCCGTCAGTTCCAGCTGCTTTACTTCCTTTCATTCTACGTAATGTCTCACGCACCTTCCCCACACTCACATCCTGCTCTTCTTCACTCCTGAAAGATGTTATACCTCCCTGACCAGTGCATGAAATTACCGCCTCCCTTTCTTCAGTGACATTTAGAAGTTCCTCAGAATATTCCCGCCCTCTACCCAATACCTCCAGCTCCCCATCTATTAACTCCCCTACTCTGTTTTTAACTGACAAATCCATTCATTCCCTATTTCATATTTTCAGCAAAATTTCTTGACAGTGCCTCTCCCATTCTTTCATCTGCTCTCCTTTTGCGCTCTCTTCACCTTTCTTTTACTCTTCATATACTCTGCTCTTCTTACAACACTTCTTCTTTGTAAAAACCTCTCATGAGCTACCGTTTTCTCTTTTATCACACCCTTTACTTCATCAATCACTCCTGGTTCCTCCTGCACCCACCCTCCTATAACCACAAACTTCTGCCCCACATTCTAATACTGCATTTTTAAAACTATTCCAACCCTCTTCAACCCCCCCCCCCACTACTCATACTTGCACCAGCCCACCTTTCTGCCAATAGTTGCTTACATCTTACCCCAACTTCCTCCTCCCTTAGTTTATACACTTTCATCTCTCTCTTGCTTGCTGTTGCCATTTTCCTTTTGTCCCATCTAACTCTTACTCTAACTGTAGCTACGACTAAATAATGATCCAATATATCAGTTGCCCCTCTATAAACATGTACATCTTGGAGCCTACCATCAACCTTTTATCACCAATACATAATCTAACAAACTACTTTAATTATGTGCTATATCATACCTTGTATATTTATTTATCTTCTTTTTCATAAAATATGTATTACTTATTACTAAACCTCTTTCTACACATAGCTCAATTAAAGGCTCCCCATTTTCATTTACCCCTGGCACCCCAAATTTACCTACTACTCCCTCCACAACATTTTTACTAACTTTAGCATTGAGATCCCCAACCACAAGTATTCTCTCACTAGGTTCAAAACTCCCAATGCACTCACTTAACATTTCCCAAAATCTCTCTCCTCTACACTTCTCTCTTCTCCAGGTGCATAAACAATTACTATAACCCACTTTTCACATCTAACCCTTATTTTACACCACATAATCCATGCATTTGTACATTTATATTCCCACTTTTCTGCCACAACTTATCCTTCAACATTATTGCTACTCCTTCTTTAGTTCTAACTCTATTTGAAACCCTGACCTAATCCTATTTATTTCTCCCTACTGAAACTCTCCCACCCCCTTCAGCTTTGTTTCACTTAAAGCCAGAACATCCAGCTTCTTCTCATTCATAACATCCACAATCCTCTCTCTCTCATCATTCGCACAACATTCATGCACATTCAAACTTCCCACTTTGATGGTTTTCTTCTTTTTCTTTTTAGTAGCTATACAGGAAAAGGGGTTACTAGCCCATTGTTCCCGGCATTTTAGTTGACTTTTACAACACGCATGGCTTACGGAGGAAAGATTCTTATTCCACTTCCCCATCGATATGAAAGGAAAAGCAATAAGAACAAGAACTATTATGATAAAATCAAAGAAAACTCAGATGAGTGTGTATACATAAACGTGTCCATGTATGTGTAGTGTGACCTAAGTGTAAGTAGAAGTAACATGACGTACCTGAAATCTTGCATATTTATGAGACAGACAAAAGACACCAGCAATCCTACCATCGTGTAAAACAATTACAGACTTTCGTTTTACACTCACTTGGCAGGACGGAAGTATATATAATATATCATTCTTCTTTCAACACACCGGCCGTATCCCACCGAGGCAGGGTGGCCCAAAAGGAAAAACGAAAGTTTCTCCTTTTACAACACGCATGGCTTACGGAGGAAGAATTCTGTTCCACTTCCCATGGAGATAAGAGGAAATAAACAAGAATAAGAACTAGAAAGAAAATAGAAGAATACCCAGAGGGGTGTGTATATATATGCTTGTACATGTATGTGTAGTGTGACCTAAGTGTAAGTAGAAGTAGCAAGACGTACCTGAAATCTTGCATGTTTATGAGACAAAATAAATACCAGGAATCTTACCATCATGTAAAGCAAATACAGGCTTCCTTTTTACACTCACTTGGTAGAACGATAGTACCTCCCCGAATGGCTGCTGTCTACCAACCTACTTCCCATACAAAATAACCACTGTTAAAAAATAAAGGTAACTCCAGGAAAAATATCAAGTCGCAACAATACTTTGGCTGGAACAATTCACCAAACACTTGAGAGTGGAACCTTGTGGCGACGTTTTGGTCCTTCGTGAACCATTGCAAATTTAACAGTGGTAAGTGCTAAATGATTTAGTATTTACAGTAACTTGCTCAGCTATCAAAACTTTGGAGTCCAGTCCCTGGACCAATTATGTACCTCTGTAATCTTTTGACTACCGCCCACAGGATGGGTATGGGGTGCATAATAAACATATTAAACTAAACTACAGTAAATGGTAAATAGTCCAGAGTGAATGGTCCAACCCAGGGCGGACAGGAAGGTTATGAGGTTCCTCTTGGTGGAAGGTAACTCCAGGTATGAAAGACAATGAAGGCTTCACTGTACGTATTTAGAGACTTCATACTTTATCAGCCTTTTACGCTTTCTGCATAGAAGATAACACCAGTTGACCCAGTGTTTCAGGTGGTTAGGTAATGTTTGTCATGAAACAGGACGAGTGTTTCCTGATGTGGGTCTAAGTCACTGATGCTTTTAGTTATTTGACTGAGGCCTTCCACTGGCTTACCAGTCCATCCCCTTAAAAATTAAGGTTAAAATTACAACCATTGTTATTATATCAGGTGGTGCTGCCTTGTAACCTGGAGCGGATGATCTGGAATGTGCAGAAGATCTTCCACATCAACAAGAGAACCCAGACGGACCTGTCTCCCATACGTGTAGTGGAAAGCATTCAGACAATGCTGGACAAATGTGTCATTGTCTCTGGTAACGACCGCATCAGCAAGCAAGCCAATGAGAATGCTACGTTCCTCTTCCAGTGCCTGGTGAGGTCAACACTTTGCACCAAGAAGGTGGCTGAGGAGTATAAACTTACCACTGAGGCCTTCAACTGGCTTGTAGGAGAGATAGAGACGAGGTTCAACCAAGCCACTGTGAGTATTATGTCCTCGGCTAGCTGGTTACTGGATCTGAAATCCTATCCAATATACATTGGTCTTTAGTGCTGCATGTCACCTGTTCAGCAACAGCTGGAACGGTTGGTGGGGAAATCTACATATATTTTCAGATGTGATTTTGTTGTGGTATGAAATAAGTGAAAATTGTTACAAGCAGCACCTGGTGAGATGGTGTTTTAAGTGAGTGTTGTTACAGGCAGCACCTGGTGAGATGGTGTTTTAAGTGAGTGTTGTTACAAGCAGCACCTGGTGAGATGGTGTTTTAAGTGAGTGTTGTTACAGGCAGCACCTGGTGAGATGGTGTCTTAAGTGAGTGTTGTTACAGGCAGTACCTGGTGAGATGATGTCTTAAGTGAGTGTTGTTACAGACAGTACCTGGTGAGATGATGTCTTAAGTGAGTGTTGTTACAGACAGTACCTGGTGAGATGATGTCTAAAGTGAGTGTTGTTACAGGCAGTACCTGGTGAGATGGTGTCTTAAGTGAGTGTTGTTACAGACAGTACCTGGTGAGATGATGTCTTAAGTGAGTGTTGTTACAGGCAGTACCTGGTGAGATGGTGTCTTAAGTGAGTGTTGTTACAGACAGTACCTGGTGAGATGGTGTCTTAAGTGAGTGTTGTTACAGACAGTACCTGGTGAGATGGTGTCTTAAGTGAGTGTTGTTACAGGCAGTACCTGGTGAGATGATGTCTTAAGTGAGTGTTGTTACAGACAGCACTGGTGAGATGATGTCTAAAGTGAGTGTTGTTACAGGCAGTACCTGGTGAGATGGTGTCTTAAGTGAGTGTTGTTACAGACAGTACCTGGTGAGTATGATGTCTTAAGTGAGTGTTGTTACAGGCAGTACCTGGTGAGATGATGTCTTAAGTGAGTGTTGTTACAGACAGTACCTGGTGAGATGGTGTCTTAAGTGAGTGTTGTTACAGACAGTACCTGGTGAGATGGTGTCTTAAGTGAGTGTTGTTACAGGCAGTACCTGGTGAGATGATGTCTTAAGTGAGTGTTGTTACAGACAGTACCTGGTGAGATGATGTCTAAAGTGAGTGTTGTTACAGGCAGTACCTGGTGAGATGGTGTCTTAAGTGAGTGTTGTTACAGACAGTACCTGGTGAGATGATGTCTTAAGTGAGTGTTGTTACAGGCAGTACCTGGTGAGATGGTGTCTTAAGTGAGTGTTGTTACAGGCAGTACCTGGTGAGATGATGTCTTAAGTGAGCGTTGTTACAGACAGTACCTGGTGAGATGGTGTCTTAAGTGAGCGTTGTTACAGACAGTACCTGGTGAGATGGTGTCTTAAGTGAGTGTTGTTACAGACAGTACCTGGTGAGATGGTGTCTTAAGTGAGTGTTGTTACAGGCAGTACCTGGTGAGATGGTGTCTTAAGTGAGTGTTGTCACATACAGTACCTGGTGAGATGGTGTCTTAAGTGAGTGTTGTTACAGGCAGTACCTGGTGAGATGGTGGGGGCGCTGGCTGCTCAGTCACTAGGTGAACCAGCCACACAGATGACCCTCAACACCTTCCACTTCGCCGGTGTCTCCTCGAAGAATGTGACACTGGGTGTGCCGCGTCTGAAGGAGATCATCAACATCAGTAAACGACCAAAGGCGCCGTCCCTCACGGTGTTCCTGGTGGGTGCAGCTGCCAGGGATGCAGAGAAGGCTAAGAATGTCCTTTGTCGTATGGAACACACCACTCTCAGGAAGGTAAGCTGTCTCCTGGGAAAGTTGGAAAGGTAAGCTGGCTAGGGTGGTAGAAAAGGTATGCTGGGTGTTGGGTAGACTGGGTGTTGGGTAGGCTTGGTGTTGGGTAGGCTGGGTGTTGGGTAGGCTGGGTGTTGCATAGACTGGGTGTTCGGTAGATTGAGTGTTGGGTGGACTGGGTGTTAGGTAGACTGGGTGTTGGGTAGACTGAGTGATGAGTAGACTTGGTGGTGGGTAGACTGGGTGCTGAGTAGAATGGGTGTTGGGTAGACTGGGTGCTGAGTAGAATGGGTGTTGGGTAGACTGGGTGTTGGGTAGACTGGGTGTTGGGTAGACTGGGAGTTGGGTAGGCTGGGTGTTGAGTAGACTGGGTGATGGGTAGGCTGGGTGTTGGGTTAGACTGGGTGTTGAGTAGGCTGGGTGCTGGGTAGACTGGGTGTTGGATACACTGGGTGTTGGGTAGACTGGTTGTTGGGTAGACTGGGTGTTGGGTAGACTGGGTGTTAAATGGACGGGTGTTGGGTAGGCTGGGTGTTGGGTAGGCTGGGTGTTGGGTAGGCTGGGTGTTGGGTAGGCTGGGTGTTGGGTAGACTGGGTGTTGGGTAGGCTGGGTGTTGGGTAGGCTTGGTGTTGCATAGACTGGGTGTTGGGTAGATTGAGTGTTGGATAGACTGCGTGTTATGTAGACTGGGTGTTGGGTAGACTGAGTGATGAGTAGACTTGGCGGTGGGTAGACTGGGTGTTGGGTAGACTGGGTGTTGGGTAGACTGGGTATTGGATAGACTGGGTGTTGGATAGACTGGGTGTTGGATAGACTGGGTGTTGGGTAGGCTGGGTGTTGGGTAGACTGGGAGTTGGGTAGGCTGGGTGTTGAGTAGACTGGGTGATGGGTAGGCTGGGTGTTGGGTAGACTGGGTGTTGAGTAAGCTGGGTGCTGGGTAGACTGGGTGTTGGATAGACTGGGTGTTGGATACACTGGGTGTTGGGTAGACTGGGTGTTGGGTAGACTGGGTGTTGGGTAGACTGGGTGTTGGGTAGACTGGGTGTTGGGTAGACTGGGTGTTGGGTAGACTGGGTGTTGAATGGACTGGGTGTTGGGTAGGCTGGGTGTTGGGTAGACAGGGTGTTGGGCAGGCTGGGTGTTGGGTAGACTGGGTGTTGGGCAATGCTGGGTGTTGGGTTGGCTGCACACTAACAGCACCTTACAAGGCAGGTGAAATTGCTGACCTAGAAAATGTACAGAGAACCTTCACGGCGCGCATAACGGAGATAAAACACCTCAATTACTGTTGAGGTTCCTCAACCTGTATTCCCTGGAACGCAGGTGGGAGAGATACATGATTATATACACCTGGAAAATCCTAGAGGGACTAGTACCGAACTTGCACACGAAAATCACTCACTACGAAAGCAAAAGACTTGGCAGACGATGCAACATCCCCCCAGTGAAAAGCAGGGGTGTCACAAGCACGTTAAGAGACCATACAATAAGTGTCAGGGACCCGAGACTGTTCAAGTGCCTCCCAGCATACATAAGGGGGATTACCAACAGACCCCTGGCAGTCTTCAAGCTGGCACTGGACAAGCACTAGAAGACAAAAAGAATGCAGATGTAATATATACAGACTTTGCAAAAGCCTTCGACAAGTGTGACCATGGCGTAATAGCGCACAAAATGCGTGCTAAAGGAATAACAGGAAAAGTCGGTCGATGGATCTATAATTTCCTCACTAACAGAACACAGAGAGTAGTCGTCAACAGAGTAAAGTCCGAGGCAGCTACGGTGAAAAGCTCTGTTCCACAAGGCACAGTACTCGGTCCCATCTTGTTCCTCATCCTCATATCCGACATAGACAAGGATGTCAGCCACAGCACCGTGTCTTCCTTTGCAGATGACACCCGAATCTGCATGACAGTGTCTTCCAATGCAGACACTGCAAGGCTCCAGGCGGACATCAACCAAATCTTTAGTGGGCTGCAGAAAACAATATGAAGTTCAACGATGAGAAATTTCAATTACTCAGATATGGTAAACATGAGGAAATTAAATCTTCATCAGAGTACAAAACAAATTCTGGCCACAAAATAGAGCGAAAACACCAACGTCAAAGACCTGGAGTGATCATGTCGGAGGATCTCACCTTCAGGACCATAACACTGTATCAATCGCATCTGCTAGAAAAATGACAGGATGGATAATGAGAACCTTCAAAACTAGGGAGGCCAAGCCATGATGACACTCTTCAGGTCACTTGTTCTATCTAGGCTGGAATATTGCTGCACACTAACAGCACCTTTCAAGGCAGGTGAAATTGCCGACCTAGAAAATGTACAGAGAACTTTCACGGCGCGCATAACGGAGATAAAACACCTCAATTACTGGGAGGGCTTGAGGTTCCTAAACCTGTATTCCCTGGAACGCAGGAGGGAGAGATACATGATTATATACACCTGGAAAATCCTAGAGGGACTAGTACCGAACTTGCACACGAAAATCACTCACTACGAAAGCAAAAGACTTGGCAGACGATGCACCATCCCCCAATGAAAAGCAGGGGTGTCACTAGCACGTTAAGAGACCATACAATAAGTGTCAGGGGCTCGAGACTGTTCAACTGCCTCCCAGCACACATAAGGGGGATTACCAACAGACCCCTGGCAGTCTTCAAGCTGGCACTGGACAAGCACCTAAAGTCAGTTCCTGATCAGCCGGGCTGTGGCTCGTACGTTGGTTTGCGTGCAGCCAGCAGCAACAGCCTGGTTGATCAGGCTCTGATCCAACAGGAGGCCTGGTCACAGACCGGGCCGCGGGGGCGTTGACCCCCAGAACTCTCTCCAGGTAAACTCCAGGTAAGCACCTAAAGTCGGTTCCTGACCAGCCGGGCTGTGGCTCGTACGTTGGTTTGCGTGCAGCCAACAGTAACAGCCTGGTTGATCAGGCTCGGACCCACCAGGAGGCCTGGTCACAGACCGGGCCGCGGGGGCGTTGACCCCCGGAACTCTCTCCAGGCAAACTCCAGGTGTTGGGTAGACTGGGTGTTGTGTAGGCTGGGTGTTGGGTGGATTGACTGTTGGATAAGCTGGGTGTTGAGTAGACTGGGTGTTGCGTAGACTGGGTGTTGGGCAGGCTGGGTGTTGGGTAGGCTGGGTGTTGGGTAGATTGACTGTTGGATAAGCTGGGTGTTGGGTAGACTGGATGTTAGGTAGAATGGATGTTGGGTAGATTGGGTGTTGGGTAGACTGTATGTTGGGTAGACTGGATGTTGGGTAGACTGGGTGTTGGGTAAGCTGTGAGTTGGGTAGGCTGAGTGTTGGGTAGGCTGGGTGTTGGGTAGGCTGGGTGTTGGGTAGACTGGATGTTGGGTAAGCTTGGTGTTGGGTAGACTGGATGTTGGGTAAGCTTGGTGTTGAGTAAACTGGATGTTGGGTAGACTGGATTTTGGGTAGACTGGGTGTTGGGTAAGCTGTGAGTTGGGTAGGCTGAGTGTTGGGTAGGCTGGGTGTTGGGTAGGCTGGGTGTTGGATAGAGTGGGTGTTGGGTAGATGGATGTTGGGTAAGCTGGGTGTTGGGTAGGCTGGATGTTGGGTAGACTGGATGTTGGGTAGAGTGGGTGTTGGGTAGACTGTATTTTGGGTAAGCTGGGTGTTGGGTAGGCTTGGTGTTGGGTAGAATGGATATTGGGTAGACTGGGTGTTGGGTAGGCTAGATGTTGGGTAGACTGGGTGTTGGGTAGGCTGGGTGTTGTGTAGACTGGGTGTTGAGTAGGCTGGGTGTTGGGTAGAATGGGTGCTGAGTACACTGGACGTTGGGTAAACTGAGGGTTGGGTAGGCTGGGTGTTCAATAGACTGGATGTTGGATAGACTGGGTGTTGGGTAGATTGAGTGTTGGGTAGGCTGAGAGTTGGGTAGACTTGGTGTTGGGTAGAGTGGGTGTTGGGTAGACTGGGTGCTGTGTAGACTGGGTGTTGAGTAGGCTGGGTGTTGCATAGACTGGATGTTGGGTAGACTGGATGTTGGGTAGAATGAGTGCTGAGTACACTGGATGTTGGGTAAACTGAGGGTTGGGTAGGCTGGGTGTTGGGTAGACTGGGTGTTGGGTAGACTGGGTGTTGGGTAGACTAGGTGTTGGGTAGGCTGCATGTTGGGTAGGCTGGGTGTTGTGTAGACTGGGTGTTGAGTAGGCTGGGTGTTGCATAGACTGGATGTCGGGTAGACTGGATGTTGGGTAGGCTGGGTATTGGGTAGACTGGGCGTTGTGTAGACTGGGTGTTGGGTAGGCCGGGTGTTGGTTAGTTTAGTTTAATGTGTTTATTATGCACCCCATACCCATCCTGTGGGCGGTAGTCAAAAGATTACAGAGGTACATAATTGGTCCAGGGACTGGACTCCGAAGTTTTGACAACTGAGCAAGTTACAGAGGTAATGAACTAACAATATACAAAGGTAATGAACTCACAATTTACAAAGGTAATGAACTCCAGGTAGGTCTGGTCACAATCATGACAAGTTACAAAGGTATTTACAGATTACAGAGGTACGTAATGGGTCCAGGGACTGGGCCCCAAAGTTTTGATAGCTGAACTAGGTACAAAGGTAATGAGCTCACAAGTTACAAAGGTAATGAATCCTGTAAGAATGGTTATTTACGTTTATACATGGCTACAATCATGAACAAATTATAGAGTAATGAGCAATTCACACTTCCACACCTGGTCACAACTGTAATTGGTGCAAATATTGATTGTTGAGTCACACACACACACACACACACACACACACACACACACACACACACACACACACACACACACTCACACACACACACACACACACACACACACACACACACACACACACACACACACACACATACACACAGGAGGCCAAGAGAGGAATATGAATAGAGCAACAGAGCAATGGTGGACACACTTGCTTAGGTGGCAAGAAGAGCTCACTCCAGCAGAGCAAAGTTGCTGGTTATGGGTGATTTCAACCACAGGGA